GGGTTTAGGGTTTAGGGTCAAATGAACATCGAAGAAATCTCGCGCCAGAAACCATCGAAAACCTATCACCTAAATCTGGAAAGCAGCAAGTAGCCATCAACCAAACAACGCTATAAACCCTAAACCTTAGTTGGGGCGGGGTCGGAATCCCGGGGTTGGCGTTCTCGGGAGAGAAAAAAAACCTGAGGTTGCCGCCGGCAGCGTCTCATTGGCCCTTAACGCCGATAGTGGTGTTGGCTTAGGATGTAAGGGTTTCATACCGATTGACTTTTGGTTGGATTTGTGTTTTGACGCTTGCTGTTTGTTCGACAATAATCCATATTTGCTTGATGTTGTTTCACTTCCCTAACCCTAGTGCCTGGGCCGAAAAGTTTGGAGACCCATGAGCAGACGGTCCTAAACCCTAAACCTGAACCCCTGAACCCTGCCTGATGCCAGGGCGGCAGCGACGCTGGCAGTGGCTTCCGCAGGTGACAGCTTCCAGGTGCCTTCTTTCTGCTTGGGGAGTTGCCGTATAGGGCTTGGGGTTTAGGGTTTAGGCTTTAGAGTGTAGGGCTTGGGGTTTAGGGGGAGTTTAATGAACCCTACCTATATAGTCTCCATTGTAGTTCCTGTTGGGTTTCCCAAGTTTACGTTATAGGATCCTAACCATAAAATTGGTTAGTTCACCAAAAGGAGCTACGATGGAGACTATAGGTAGACCCTAAACCTAACGAGACCAGCACACGGGAGTTGTAACGAGATCAAGGGTTTTGCATCCAAGGGCTTCTCCAACGTCTCCCTGGTTCTTAGTAGGGAATGGGGGAATGGGTGCAGACAAGCCCCCCTGCCCTCCCGTGAGGAATCATGTGGATCTTAGCTTCCAGACCCTTCCAAAAACTGTCATACAGTAGACTCCTGATTATCGCTGACCCCCCTACCCTCCTTCATGAGATTCAGAATCTAGAACAATTATAGATACGGATCTTTAACAGTCAGGAGGCTTTGCACTTAATCTGCGGTACAACCATATCTATGCTAATTCAACTCGACCATCAGGGATCTCCGGCCAATCGTTGGTATCAATTTAAAGCTCTAACCTTGACACGCAAAGCAAACCCAAAATTTCAACATCCTGAACCTGAAACAACTAAAACTCTTATCCCGAAACACTAAGTTAAGTAACACACCATCCTGCAGATTGGCTGGGGGGGCTTACGGTGATGTAGGGCTTTTGGGTTGAGGGTTCTAGAGGGAGTTCAGGGCTTAAGGTTCTCATTATGCTTAAGCAGCTATTCCATGGTGAAGCGGTACCTGGGCAAACCAGAACCCTGAAATCTGTCTTTTCGTCTTCAAGAAAATCTGAAGTCGCCGCAAAATCTTGAGGCATTCTCATACGGATTTCCAAAAATACGTCAGGGACACCTTCTGTGACGTATGCTACTGTACTAGTCAGGGCAACTAAAGAAGTCTACATCAATATTTGGATCCCTACCTGCTGAAATTCCATATACAATGGGCCCAGGGCCCATTTATAGCCGTGAGGTTTAGGGTCTAGGGTTTAGGGTTCCGCGTTCAGGTTTTCGCATTCAGGGTTGGGGTACAGGATTACTCAATGAGGTATGCGAAAGCTATATCACAACATGTCCATGATGTGTTAATCTAGGTTCCTGAGTGACCACTACTTAATACGGGTACCCTTTTTCCTAATATTGGGTTTTAATAAGGAGACCCCAAAATAAAAAGGGCAAAAGGGTACCACTCAGGAACCTCGTAATGCGCCTAGAAGATATTCTTGAAACATTCCATGTGGGACCTGGCGGTCAATCGTTCAGATCCCATAGCCCCTAAACCTGAAATCAGCCCTGCAACCCCCAAACAGAGTACCTGAACCCTAAACCCTATAAACCCTAAACCCCAAACCCTAAACCCTAAACCCTGCAACCCTAAAGCCCAAACCCTAAAACCCTAAAACCCTAAACCCCTAAACCCTAAACCAGAAATTCCGAAGACCAGACCTATGCCGGGTCCGATGAGGCTTCCGTCGCGGAGGGCCCAGCGGTAGCCCGCTAGACCAGGTCCCTGGCTGTACTGAGTTGTAACTAGGGTTTAGGGTTTAGGGTTTAGGTACTGAAAGGTTCATGGGACTTAGTAACTAGGGTGATAAATAAGGTAACTACACATATAGTTACTTATAACCGCAATTCAGGTACGTATAACTGTACTTATTAATTCCCACCAACCTCCAAGTATCATCCAAGGCTTCCGAGTCTTTGAGGTTGGGTCTGGGTGGGGTAGGGTTTAATGTTTCAGATATGTAGGGCATAGAGGTTAGGGCCCTTTGCTTAGGATTTCAGATTTGGAATTTGCAGAGGTTCTTCTCGGCTTTCAGGTCTAGAGGGCGGCGGCAGGCTGTGGGTTCTAACACTTACGTGACCCAGGGTTTAGGGTGGCTTTTTAAGGTTTAATAGGGTTTAGAGTGTTCTCTTAGGCTTTGGGTGTTCTGGTTCGGGATGTCTTTCTGGGGCTTGGGGATTAGGTTTTTTAGCTTAGGCTGAAAGTGTTCTGGTTCCGGACTCATGGCATGTGGCACGTGACTCTTCGTCATTTTGTCTTGGTTACAACCCAAACATGAGGCCAAAGGGGTCGCATCGTTTGGCAGCAAATGTGCAGACAAGAGGATGCCCACCCCTTCCGTTTGCTTGTTTTCCACAATCGCTGTAGATCGAGTTTTCAGGACGAACCTCAAGACCCTTTATCGCCTAGTACCGAAACACCTAATCCCCAAGCCTACCTAGATCCTGCAACGGGGTTCCTTGATTCTGTTGTTTTCATTTTCAAGTTCTAAGTGAAGACCCTGATAAACGAAGGCATTCAAAACAGGTGTACTACAAACAAATGCCCAAACCTGGAGAAGCCTTCAAACGCCCGATACAACCCTGTGGAGCCCATGAAAAGGCTACCGGAAAGACTACCCCCTAAACCCACCTTGAACTACCATAACCTACTTTTTTGTAGGTCCTTATTATAAACCCTCATAAAGAATACAAAGTAGTAGGTTTTGGTAGTTTAAAGTAAACCCTAAAGTCCGAAGCCCTAAACCCTAAATCCTAAACCCTACTAAGTTTTGACTGGTCGAAGGGCCTGGCTGCTTGCTGATGGTAACCCCATGGGCGCCACCGGCGGTACCTGGTGCGACGCCGGCGAGTTCTATGGATCGTGGTGCATGTATACCTTATATAAGAACCAAAAACCCACTTTGTTGTAGGTTCTTATTATAAACCCTAATATGGGATTTATAGGGACCCTACAAAAAAGTAGGTTTTGGGTTCTTAAGGTACAGGCCTGCATCTTTAGATGTTTGCTTTCTCTTTATTGGCATGCATGTATGCATGCATGGATGCATGGCTGAAAGGATGGATGAATGGATCATGGACGCAAGGACGGAAGGATGAAAGCATGGACGACCACGGACGAACGCAGGCACGGATGGATTGATGGATGGAGGGGGAGGAGCGAGGGACGGACGGACGGATGGATAGATGAAAGGATGCAACGATGGATGAAATGATGTTCTGCGATTCCTCGGGCCTCTACACGCTTTGGGGGCGCAGGTTCCCCAGCAAGTAAGGCTCGGAACCGGTGTGTGCCGGGATCACCCAGAGGGCTGTCAAACCCAATACTTACCGAAAGAAAGACCCTGCGAATCAGAATTTCGAGACCAAGGTGAGAAGGATGCAACGGAATCTGCAAGAGATCGCGGTTACCACAACACCCGGACACGCTGGGATCACAGAGTTCACGACGAATATGAGGCTACTGGTCTCGGATTTAATTAGAATGGATCTACCAGAGGGCTGGGACATCCCGCATCCACCCCGAAGGTTGTCAATTCGGAACACGAACCGTCACGGCACCACATGCACAGCAACATGTTGCGATGCGCGGCGACTCCCATCACCCCTGTTTCGTGTCTTGAAAGGTGCGCAACTAGCTTCGTTAAGGCACAACTTCATAAACAAAAAGCCAAACCTAAACCCGCAAACCCAAAGCCCTCGACTCAAAAGCCCCTGAACCCGCAACCCTCGAGGACGCAACCCCCATGACTTGAAGTCTCGCCATCCTACCGTAGCCTACTTTTTGTAGGGCCCCTATAAATCGATATTAGGTTTATAGTGAGAACCTACAAAAAGAGCAGGATAATTATGGCAGTTTAACTTATCTGTTATTTTCAGCCCAAATATGTTGATGGTTTCCTGCTAAACTACCAAGGTGTATACTCGGAATCCCAAACCTCCAAATCCCTGGCACTGAATGTCTAGACCCCTATAACCCCTAGACTCAAAGCTCTGATCCCCGCCAGGCGACCTCAAAGCACTCCTCAACAGACAACTTAATACGACATATAATCATAAACACATTATACCATGAATGAGAAGAATAGGGATAGTAAGAAGCCGTCGCACTCGCTGATGCTATTTAGGGTCTAAGAAGCCTAAGGATAGCATTGACAAGTGCGACTCACCAATAATACGGCTGATGGACAAATTCCTGCATGATCTTACACACCTAAACTATGGGATTTATGGTACTATCCTATATTTGGGTCCTGCAGAATTGTGTCCATCAACCGTAGTACCCATAGTAGTGGCCGTGCTCATTGGATCCTCGCGCCTCGAGGTTCAGGTCATCCACTGCTCCCAAGGCGCCTCATGTAGGGTTTAGGGTTCAGGGTTTAGGGTTTAGGGTTTAGGGTTTAGGGGTTCTTCGTTCTTTGAAGGGCTTGGGGCTTACCTTCAGTCTGCATTTGTAGTTTTTAATTAGTTTAACCATATCCTCATGTTCTTCGGTGTTCGAGGGGTTTAGGGCTTACCTACAGTCTTCATTGTAGTTTTTTTTGGCTACCCAATTTTTTGGTTAGGACCCCATGATGTATTTAATTAGTTTAACCATATTCTCATGTTCTTCGTTGTTTGAAGGGCTTATAGGGCTCACCTGCAGTCTGCGTTGTAGTTCCTTTTTTGGTTCACCAACTGTAGATGGTTAGGATCCAAAAATATAGATTTGGTTCACCACAAAACGGAACTACGATGAAATCTATAGGTAGGTTATAGGAGCACATTCAGGCTTACCCCCGGCTACATGGAGGCCGATACCCCGAACCCAGAATCCTCCGATCACATGGACAAGATTCGATCGACGGTGGCGCGCACATCGGCCATCACCTACGTTTTCGAGGAGCATATGAAACTAATAAACAAGTTCTAGCGCTCAAGATGACATGGCGTAGGGTTGTAGTATCTAGGAGGTTTTGGATGTTGGGCGTAGATAACAGGTCATGTAAGGTTTCAGGCACGGCCGTTTGTCAACTGTGTACTGGGGATGTTGACGGGTTCAGGATCATTTCCTGCGTGGTCTGGCTGTTTAGGGTTTAGGGTTTAGGATTTAGGGTTTAGGGTTCAATCGGCTTGGAACAACAAGCTCAAACAGGGTTCTGGCAATCCTGACGGTTTGCTGGAGCTCTTGACCTGAGTTCCAGCCTCGTAGCCTGGCAGTTCAGTTCAGGGTCTGACATAGGATCTTCTTACATCTTCTCCTGTGCGAAATGTTAGATCGAGTTGTAGCCACACCCGGTCTTATCGAAGTAGTGAACCCACCTGGACTTAACAGCTGCTTCCGCCGCCACCCGGCCACGAGATCTGAAGGAATCGACACACATCCAAACGCTCAACACTCCAAGAAAACACGGTATCTACATGCCACAGCCTGAGGCAGCGGAGTTCGACCTTCATGCTACAGCCAGCTCGAAGCACACTGCTTTGTAGCTCCTAAAACTTTAACCCTGCAACCCTAAACTCTAAACCCTCACCAGCCTGCAAGCTTCAGCGCCGAGCCTTGCACCCTTTATCCCCTAAACCCTAAACCCTAAAAAACCCTAAACCCTCTCGTCCGAAACCTGAACCCTGCAACCCCCGACTCTAACCCTATGTAATATAAACCTACAAACCGGTTTAGGGTTTGGGGTTTAGGGGTTTAGGGTTGAGGGTTCAACCGTAGAGCCCTCAACAAACCCTCAAATCCAAGCCACACAGCACGTCTCCAAGTGTCGAACTCCTACGACCCAACCTTTAGCCCCAACGCCAGGAGCCCTGCAAACCATAGAACCTTGAGCGGCTCAGGCCCTACCTGGACCTTAAGGAACCTACCTTTTTGGGGCTCTTTATTATGATTTCTTTAGATAAGTCCTTGAAAAAGTAGGCTATTTGGGGTTAAGGTAAACCCTAAACCCCATAAGCCCTAAACCCTAAACCCTAAACCCTATAAGCCCTAAACCCTAAACCCTTAGCCTCAAATCCCCAACTCGAGTCTCCCCCAAAACCCCCCTAAAACCTAAACCCTAAACCCTAAAACCCTAAAACCCTAAACCCAAAAACGGGCGCCTGCGCATCCGGCTCCTCGCCGGCGCTGAGTGACCGAAGCGGCTCGGCAAGCCTGGCCTCCATGGCGCTAAGGTGAACCTGAGCAGGATCTCATAACAAAAAAACGAGTTCAGTGTTTCGGGGCTTATAAGCGGCTTATTTAGGGTCTACCTGGGGGTTTAGGCATTATAAGGTTTAGGGTTTAGGGGGTTTTCTAGAATTAATTATACGGTCTTGTACGGCCGAGGATGTTGCTATAAGGGCCTTATATGAGGGTTCTGCCACAGCGAACAAGGGGCGCATAGGAATCTATGTAGTATAGGGGCCTTAATAATTAGAATAGAGTTTTGGGCTCCTTTATACCATCATTATAACAAGGGGCCCTAAGGAATACTATGGCCGAATTATTTAGGGATCGAAACTCTATGTTTGGGGAGGATATTGAGGCTTTCCCCCTTGACCCTAAACCCTAAACCCTAAACCCTAAACCCTAAGACCCTAAACCCGAATCCCTAAACGCTAGACCCTAATCATAAGGAACCCTATAGAGGCCACGTAGTCCAGAACTTTGGTCTGCCAGTCCGGAGCCGAAACCCTCTACTTACTGGGTCTTTAAACCCTTAGGGCAAAGCCCAAAACCCTAAACCTTAGGGCCCAAAATCCTAAACTCAGAGCACAAAACCCTAAAACCCAAGGCCCAAAACTCTAAAACCCTCAACCCCAAAACCCATAAAACTCTCAACCCTCAAAACCCTTAAACCCGAGGCCTAAAACCTGTGAAATACTCAGCCCTCTAGTGCCTAAGCGGTAAGCCCGAAGCACCTTAAAGCCTAAACCGCCTGAGCCCTTCTAAGAGCCCTAAGCCCAGCCCAAAACCCTAAACCCTAAACGAAGAGCCCTAAGCCCAGCCCGAACCCGAAACCCCAAACCAGTCGAAGGCGCGGAGAGCGCGGGCGGCGTGCCAAGACGGCAGGCTCGGAGCCTTCGATATAAAGGGTTCAACTATGGATTCCTTTAGAGGTTCAGGTTTATAGGGTTTAGGGTTTAGGGTTTAGTTTTAGGGTTTAGGGTTTAGTTTATAGGGTTTACGGTTTAGGGTTTAGGGTTTAGTTTTAAGGCTTAGGGTTTAGTTTTAGGGTTTAGGGTTTAGGGTTTAGTTTTAGGGTTTAGGGTTTAGGGTTGCTTTCTGGGAGCTAGAGAGTCTAAGGGTCCATGTGGCCGTGTAAGGTCCCTTCTTTGGGCTGCTGAAAGGGTTCCTGTGGCGGTCCCTGAAGGGTTCCTTCAGGGGGCAAGGAAAGAACTGTCTGGTGCTTAGTAGGGAATGGGGGAATGGATCCCTATGATGGTCCCTTAAGGTCCCTCATAGTAGTATATAACCCCTTCCCCCATTCCCTACTAAACACCAGACAGAGAAGTTACCCAGATCTTCTATAATCCGTTCATGAAGGAATCGACCTTAACCCACATTCGGGATCCGCTTGTAATTTAAGGTACCCACATTCGGGATGCGATTGTAACTTAAGGTATATATTCGCAATTAGGGATCGTCGAAGATCTGGGGTTTGGACGCTCTGTGGAGGGCTTTGGGCTTCACTAGGGACCAAGAGTTGAGGGTTTTAGGGTTTCGGGTTTCGGGGTTGGTATATAGGGATAATAAGATGGACTCTGGGGAGTTGCAGGGGCTGCGGGTGATAATTGGTACTAAGTAAACGTGCTGTTGAACTTATTTTGCGGTAGTAAGACTTACATATCAAAACTGTCTCCCTGGTGTTCACGTTCGGCTATAGTACTCACAGGTTCAGGATGGAGGGGTTCAGGGCTTAGGGTTTAGGGTTTAGGGTTTGCAGACCCCTCACAAACCCTCGTGCAACACAAGGCAAGAAAACACGGCGAACACTCCTAATAAAACTCGCAAGAAGCCAGTATAACACGTCTAGAACAACCCTTCCAAAACAATCAAAACACAAGATCAAATAATCTAGCCTCTAGCGTTTAAGACCATGTAGAACCCCTTATGCAAACCCAAAAGAGACTGTGTGTACAGTCATAAAGAAACCGTTATGCCGACCGACAAAATCCCTGCAAAACCTACAATGTCTAAAACTCGTTCTAAACCCAGTAAGACCGTAAAACATCTTATCAACCCCCCCAAAAAAAACTCCCTAGACAACCCTTGGAAAAACCCTCTAAGACCAAAGACTCGTACAGTCCTTCACTCAAGGCTACTAGGAGCGTCCAGAGCCGGGGAGCGCGTAGAACGCCAACTCGGCCAAACCCACCTCGGCCTTGAAACGTTGGAAGCCTCGTGCACGTTACTGCTGTTCTGTGTTCTAAAGGCGGCGGTTGAGGGTTTACCCTAAAGCGGGGTACATTCTTGTCTCGCAACTTTCAATTGTTTTAACACCACTATGCCTTGAACCTTGGAGCGCGAGGGTTGAGGGCTTTCAGATTTGTTAATGATGGTGTCAGGGATTGTCGAGCCTTGTCCTACAAATCCCAATATCCATGTTGCATCATTGATGGCAGCTGTAGAATAGGATAGGGCAATCATCAGGATCATCATGCTGACACCTCGAAACCGTGATAAGATGTGATAAAGATCAATCGGGGAGCCTCATGCAAAAAAGGAGCCATTAATGACCCTAAACCCTAAACCCCTGAACCCTAAACCCTAAACCCCTGAACCCTAAACCCTAAATGCTTCCTTTACACTCTCTTCACTTCGGTATGCCCCCCCGGCCTGAGCACTCTGGAATCTGCAGCTGCCCGAGGCGATGTGCCGCCCAGCGAGCAGCAGCGGCGAAATGAAAGCGCACCTTCGGCACGGGGTTTAGGGTTTAGGGTTTAGGGTTCGGGAACTCTATGTCGGTCACTTTGTTCCAGGTCACTTTGCTCATGGATTGTGCATTGTGGCTGTGTCGTAACAAGCCTGCCAGCGACGACGATTGGTGATGAACAATGGTGATCACAGCGGCGATGATGCTGATGATGATGACGATGATGGCCTTCCTGGTGATGGTAGTAATGATGCTGACCAAAATGACGATAATGGTATGAACACGGCTTCGGACATGCGGATGATGATCGTGACTCTGAAGTTGGTTTTGGCAGTTTTGGCAAACGTGACCATCATTGTTATGGTATCCCCTAAACCTTAGCCCTAAACCCGAAACCGGTAATGAAAGTGCTGATTGCAGGGACGCTTGAGTGTAGCGTTCGAAAACAACACCGGGTTTAGGATTTAGGGTCTTGGGCTGTTGTTGTCAGCCCCTCCGACATTTAGTCAGTGTACTTGGATAGGTTCAAGAAAATCGGTTGCAGTTCGGCATGCTTGGTCTTCGGACAATAAAAAAGGAATTGCGAGAGTTCTTTCCCAAAATTCTGGTGCTTTTCAGGTGTGCACCAGCCGCCAAAAAAGTGCTGGCTTGGGAACAGACATGATTCTGTTGGCCCTAGGCTTTTCTTGGGGAATATAGCTGGGTCGCGGGCCCTAAACAGGATTTCTTGGGTTTCGTGCGGAGGACTCCAGTTCGTGAATGTCAATAAGGGACGTAACTGCTTCTTCTGTGTCTGACAAAGCCCGAACCCGAAACCTCAAAAGATCCATTTCCCTGAAACCCCAAACCGTCTCTCTGTAGATCCGTGTTTGCAGATTCACAAGCTATCATACAAACGAAGCTGAGTGTTGTAAACGAATAAGCTCCACGGAGTGCTACCTGCCTTAAAAAATCTTCGAACATTCCTTCAAGAAGAGCAAGGAAGCCGTATACAACTTGAGGAGCACTTCTCAATTTAGGAGTATTGGGCATTCTGAGCGTAAGGTGCCCAATAATCCCGAAACCCGCAAGGCCACGAACAGCACCTCGCTTCCTGTGGTTGGTGGCGGAGCCGTGACAGCGTCCGCATCTGAGGAGAGGCAACGGCATGCACCATCACAGAACGACTACCGCAGCAACTCAGAATCTAGAGCAATGTGCTAGTTGAAAGCCTATGCCACATAAGAGTTCAACCTAAGACGCCAAGATAGAGTGGTTCAACGAAGCTTGTGAACCTAACGTAGGGTGTTAGAGTACAAAGGTACTACTAGAGTACCTATAGAGCGACTACTTTGAGGCCAAGGTATGTACTATACGAGCACATGGACCCTAAGGGTAACCCAAAACCTAAACTTCGCGAGATTTCCATGGCAAATCGAAGACTTGCAGTTTCTTCGTCTCTTGTTCTTCTTGGCCTTGCCGGCGTTGTTGTGGTTGTGGCTGCTTTCGTTGCCGTCGTTACTGCTGTTGGTGTCGTTGTTGCTGGTGTTGGTGTTGGTGTTGGTGTTGGTGTTGCTGTTACTGTTACTGTTACTGTTACTGTTACTGTTGTTGTTGCCGCTGCAGCTTTCGCTGCTGCCGCTGCCGCTGCTGCCTCTGCTGCCTCTGCTGCTGCTGCTGCTGTTGTGGTTGTTGCCGTTGTTGGCGTCGGTGTTAGAGTTGCTGTAGTCTTCACTTCCATTCTTGTAGGTGCAGGGCAGCAGTTAGGAGAGTCTACGAAGTCCTTTCACTGGCCTTTGGCCGAAACGAAGGGCATGAGTGGAAATGCCAATGTAACCCACGACACATGCCAAGAATAAAGTCTTGCTGTGACCCCTTCCAATGAAGAACGCCTGCAATGAAAAGTGTTCAGTGGTCAAGGGTCAGTCAAGGAAGCCGGTTCCTCCATGCAAACCGTAAAACTCGGGAGTGAAAGGAGGATCTCGACACAAAAGAGACAAACGCGTCCTACCTTAGAAAATCGAATCTGGGTGAGCAAGTAAAGGTTTACATTTTACAGTTGAGGGTCAGGGGTTCAGGTGTCGGCTTAAACGGAAGCCTCGAGTAAGCGGTATGTCACAAGGACGATCTCGCTCCTCTACGCTGTGCATTAACCATCCCAGAATTGAAAGAACATATCGGAAACTAGATCTGAGCCTTAAGCCCAAGACGAGAACCCCCACACCGAAGTCTCAACCTGCACTCAAAATCTAATACCTCCTCACCTAAATACACAAAGAACAAACAACAAAACCTACATCCTAATATCCCAAAATACCGGCCGCCGAACACCCGAACAACCGAGCAGCAGTATCGCTTACTATCTTTATTTTTTGTATCATCAATCAGGCAATCGTATCTTTATGTGTACTTTCTTTAACTATATGTGTTTGTTATACCGTTCCAGTTTACTGACAGTATATATGTATATTATGGCATCATTGTCTCATCATACGAGTACATGTATATTCTAGCATCATTATATCATAATACGGTTATATGTAACGGTTTATTACTGCATCGTTGTGTATGGAGGGCTCCGTTGAAAGGGATCGGCTTCGGGATCCTCGAATGGAGCCATAGTGGTTGGCAGCCATCGCAGGCTCCAAACCCATGACAGGAAGACATGCATGAACAACAAACTACCCTGTAACCCCAGTTTCATCATAAGACATGCGTTAAACTTACAAGTTTACCTCTAACACTAGATCAATTCTAGGAAATGACCCGAAACTCTAGTTGAGTCAGCTAATGCCCTAAACCCCTATGCCCTAAACCCTAAACCTATCTTAAACCCTAAACCCTAAACCGTAAACCTATCTTAAACCCTAAACCCCCATACCCTAAACCCCTAAACAAACCCTAAACCCGAAAAACCCTAAACCGCTAAACCCTCAACCCGAAAAACCCTAAACCCCTAAACCCTACACCCGAAAAACCCTAAACCCCTAAACCCTCAACCCCGTCTCTTGCGGCGAAACTGCAGCCGTTGCCAGGCGCTGGGTCTTCTTTGGCGGGCCAGGAGAGGATAAGATCGGCCTTCCTCACCCCAAGCTACAGGGTTTGGGTTTAGGGTTTAGGGTTTAGGGTTTAGGGTTTAGGGTTTAGGGTTCAGGGTTGAGGGTTTAGGGTTCAGGGTCTAGGGTCTCGTTCAGGACTTCACTTCAAGTTGCCATAATCGGGATCTATAGTAAGGTTTTTGGGGATTATATGTGGGTTTTGGGTGGGGGTTTTCAGAATCAGAATTGGGCTTGGGGGTGCGTATTAGGGCATGGTTCTACTCTGCGGAGGTACAGACTTTCGCGTTTTGAGGTGTTCGGCTTTGGGGCTCTGGGCTTCTAGTAGGCCAGGTTAACAGCCCGTGGTATGGTTTAAGATGGACTTTGGCCCCATCTGCAAACAGGGCAATGTCGGGTAAAGCTCGACTCCTAAACGACGGTCGCTGCAATTCCCGAGGGCAAAGGACCGAGAAGGGGGATGTAGGTCTTCAAACTCAAATACTGTGCTGTTAAGATTAGCGTAGGGTTTGGGGATATAGTACGGCTAAACGTCACTGGAGTCCTGGGCAATAGTACTGCTAGTTATTCAGGCTTCAAGATGGTGGCTCTTTGAAATCAGGACTTCAGGCTCCGAGATTTGAGGCCGCCGCTGTATATTGATCAGCGATTGCGAGATAACCAGCAAGGAAACTATCATGGATTTCGAGGGCGCAGGAGGCGGTTGGAAAACCCAGCTCTAAACCCTAAACCCCTACGACGGCACATGGAGCGGACCCCGTAGTGTCTTCAGCAAGATGGTCTACATCTATAGAGGCTTTGTAAGAGTTCCATGGGTCTGCGTTGCAATGCTCAGCCACATAGCAGGAAGGGGTTAGAGTTTAGGGCTTAGGGATCACGGTTTACGGCTTTGGGTTAGGGGTCTAAATATACTCACAGATCTAAAGAGGTACTTGTACTGCGTCTCGTTACTGAGTGCAAGGCAGTCTTCGTTAGCAAAGCGTCCCTGCCCTTCTCTACACACTTGGAGGGTCGGCGGACTTCGTATGGAGGCTTTATAGACTTATAAGTTACTTGCTTACAAGTCTGTAATTACAGTAATTAACTATTTATCATAACCCCAATCAGGCCCCCTGTCCGGTTACTTGTAAGTCTGCGTATACTACTCACGCGACCCTCCAAGTAGATCTGACCCTCAACGGCGCCTGTTCCTGGGATCTAAAGCGGGCTGCATTATCAACACTCTCTTCAAGCAAGCCGTGTTTCCAGCATCCAGGGATTGTATCTAAATCTAAGGACCTCCTAGGAATTTATAGGGCTTAGGCTTCAAAGTGCGCTTCTGATGGTTCAGAACGATCCTCTTCTATAGAAGTCTGTGGACAATGTAGTGGTTGTAGATGACACCAAGAACCTATGTAACATGTCCCGACCCAGACGCCCGGGAGGATCTACAAAGTAGAAGCCCTAACAATATGGTACCCTAACTACAGGGTCTTTATAGGAACCCCCTTAATGGATCTACTTTTTGGATCCTCCCGAAATTTCTGGGGAAAGGCCTACCCAGGGGATGATCTCGAAGCCGCCCTAAACCCTAAACCCTAAACCCTAAACCGACGAAAACCCGAGGCAGCAGGCCTGAAGCGCGCCGAGCATGCCTCGACGTTGATCCTGGGCTCAGCTTCTGATTTAGTTGGGGTTTTAGGAGTTTAGGGTTATAGGCTATAGGGGTTTAGGGTTCGGGGTTTAGGGGATTGGGATTTGGGGTTTAGGGGTTTTAGGAGTTTGGGGTTTAGGGGTTTTGGGTTTAGTTAGGGTTTAGGAGTTTAGGGTTTTAGGGGTTGAGGGGTTCAGGGGTTTAGGGGATTGGGGGTTTAGCTGTTTAGGGATTTAGGAGTTTAGGGGTAAGGGGGTTTTGGGTTTAGGGGTTTAGGAGTTAGGCTTTAGGGTATAGGGTTTTAGGAGTTTTGGGGTTTAGGGGTTTAGGGTTTAAGGTTTTTGGGGGTTAGGGTTTCGGAGCTTAGGGTTTAGGCTGTAGGGTTTAGGGTTTGGGGGTTTAGGGGTTTAGGGGCTTGTTTAAGGGTTTAGGGTTTAGGGTGTGGGGTTTATAGGGTTTGGGGTTGAGGGTGTCGCGAACTGTTTGGGAACAGGAGCGACGGTTTGTGAACGCCTTCCAAAAGCCCCTACCTTGCCCAAAATAATGAAACCCTAAACCCTAAACCCTAAACCCTAAACCCTAATCCCTAAACCCTAGGATCCCGTAACTAATGCCTGCTGGGGACTTTGAGGGGTGGAGGTTCTAGCTGTTGCAGTCTGATTGAGGAACTCCCTAAGTCTCACAGAAGCTCCTAAACCCCTAAACTCTAGGGTTTAGGGTTTAGGGTTTAGGGTTTAGGGTTTAGGGTCTAAACCCGTAAACTTCGGTTTCGGGTTTAGGGTTTAGGGGCCTTAAGCCCTAAACTCTAGTGCACTGCATTGCTGTAGGGTGGTGTGCTTGCGGTTTAAAGGTCACCCGGACGGAGGGACTGTGCTCCGTAGATCTTACCTGAACTCTCCGTTGGTGACTTTGGGTGTTCTTGGTTGCCGGGTCATCCCTGGCTTAGCCACCTACCCTTGGCTGAACCGAACCCTAAACCAAACCCTAAACACGGTATAGGGTTTTGGGTTTAGGGTTTTTGAAACAAAAACCTTAAACCAAACCCTAAACCCTAAACCAGACCCTAAACCTCTAACGACATCCAACCGATTACTTGGAATGGCCCAGGGCATTGACCCAAGCACTCTCCTCTAAGGGTCCATGTATCCATAAAGTCTATACTTTGGCCCGAAGTTACTTTCAAAGGGAGTACTTGTGAAGGCCAAACCATATACTATGTGGGCGCATGGACCCTTATACCCTAAACCCTCATGGCACCCTTGCAGAACACTTAAAGGAACCCTTAAAGCAACCTTTAAAGGAACCCCGGAACCATGCAATATGGGCAAAAACGTCCGTGAGACTCTGAACTCTCAAATCGAACCATCCAAGTCAAGGGCAGCGAGCAATGGGTTTAGAGTTTTAGAGTTCAAGGTTTAGGGCCGTAGGATGCAGGACCAAAGAAGCCGACTATAATCCCTA